AGTGCAAGGCCCTGAGTTCGATCCCCGGTACCAAAAAAACCCAAAGACTGAATATTGGGCAACAGACTGCACCAAGCCTCGGCCTGGCCTGCTCCACATGTAAGGCAGTTAATGTGCCTGACTCGTGGCACTGGAGGTCTGACTGGCCCCGCTCTCAGAGAGGGAGGGCCCAGCCTGAACCTTCACTTCCTGCTCTGATGGCTGAAGAGGCCCAGGGAAACCTGCAAAGCCCCTGTCCACAGATATCGCCATCTCCTCTGGGGAACCCTGGATAGACTTGGACATCATGGCTGAGCCAATTCCACTGCTAACTAATACAGGGCCAGCTCATTCAATTCTGCCTTCCTTCTCTGGAAGACTCTCCTCTGTGTCTGTAGACATAGCTGAGGTCAAGAGGACCCCTAGCCAGAGATTTCTTTTTACTCCTCCTCTGACATGTCACTTTGAAGGCCAAATGTTTAACCATGAGTTCCTAATTGCCCTGCAGTGTCCTGCTCCCCTGCTAGGAAGACATTTGCTAGCTAAAATTGGGGGCAAGTCTCAAATTCCAGCTAAGGCCAAAATGGAATTTACTTATTGAGACTATATCAGATCTCCCTGACCAAACTGGCCAACGAGTGGATCCTGCCACCTGGTAAAGGGGAACACCTGGTAGTGCAAATTCAGGTCTCCCAGTAGCTGCAAGACTGAAAGACCCTAGGTGGTTTCTTAACCAAAAGCAGTATCCAATGAAGGAAGAGGCACGTAAAGGCCTTCAGCCTCTCATAGAGAATTTTCTCAAATATGGCCTTCTGAAGCCCTGTCAGTGCCCTTGTAATACTCCCATTCTCGCTGTGGTAAAGCCCTTGGGAGAATATTGGGTGCTACAAGACCTCTGCCTCATTACCAAGGCTGTTGTTCCAATCCATCCTCTCTTGCCAGAGCCATAAACAATTCTCTCCTAAACTCCAGGGGACATTAATTGGTTCTCAGTCTTAGATTTAAAAGATGCATTTTTCTCCATCCCTCTTCATCCAGACTCCCAGTTTCTGTTTGCCTTTGAACGGGAAAAATCCCATTTCAAGAGAAAGGCAGCAGTATACTTGGACAGTTCTTCCACAAGGGTTTAGAGGCGATCCTCACCTTTTTGCTCAGGCACTAGAGAAAGACTTGAGAAACTTAAAATTTAAACAAGGAATCACCCTACAGCATGTAGATGACATTCTAGTTTATAGCCCAACTCAGAAATTATCTAACTATAACATTATACAGACTCTCAACTTTCTAGCCAAGAAGGGATATAAAGTCTTCAAAGAAAAGGCTCAGATATCCCTCCAAAAAGTTCAATATCTGGGATATATTCTCACACCTTGGGACTGACAGCTGTCTAGGGACTGGATCCAGGCTATCTGTGATCTTGGGCCTCCTGCCACCAAACAATGGTTTTGTTCTTTCCTGGGACTGGCTGGCTTTTGTAGGATCTGGCTACCTAATTTTGGGCAAATGGCAAAGCCCTTCTATAAGGCTGCCAAAGCCCCTGAGTCAGTGCCCCTAGAATGGGCAAAAGTGACTGGCAATGCCTTTAGGGAAATAAAGCACGCCCTCACTCAGGCTCCAGCACTGGGAATACCTGACTTAAGAAAACCTTTCTTTCTCTATGTATCAGAAAAGAGAAGAATTGCTTTGGGGGTCTTGACCCAAAGGCTAGGGCAAGAGCCCTGCTCAGTGGGATACTTTTCAAAGTAATTAGATAGAGTGCTGCTGGATGGCCACCCTGCCTGAGAGCAGTATCAGCTACCACTGTACTAACAGATGAAGCTACAAAGTTAACTTTGGGACAGACACTAGAAGTCCTGACACCCTATAAGGTCAGGGCTATTCTGGAGACAAAACGTTACTTGTGGTTAATGGGGGAACAGCTCACTAAATATCAGTCCATGCCCTTAGATGTCCCTGAGGTTATTATAAAAGTTTGTACTGGGGCTGGGGATTTAGCTCAGTGGTTTCGCTGCCTGCTGCACAAGCACAAGGATCCGAGTTCGATTCCCTGGTACCAAAAAAAAAAAAATAAGCTTGTACTGCTCTTAACCTGTCTCTTTGATATGTACAGGCCCAGAGTTAGCTACTCTTGTGAACAAACCATCTCTCAGACATATGCCAATAGGCAGGACATCAGTGATCTGCCCCTCCAAGACCCTGAGGAGGTGTGGTTCACTGATGGAAGTAGCTTTGTTCAAGAAGGACATCGAAAGACAGGTTATACAGTTGTCAGCTCACAGTGGGTCACTGAAGCTAAACCTGCTCCTCCAAGAACCTCTGTTCAGAAGGCAGAGCTAGTAGTTCTTACTCGGGGATTGATATTAGGAAAAAGCAGAAGGTTAAGTATCTATACAGAGCTGGGCATGGTGGTGCATGCCTGTAATCCCTCCTGACGCAGGAGGATCACTGTGAGTTTGAGGCCAGCCTGGGCTACATAATGAGTTCAAGGCCAGCCTGAACTATATAGCGAGACCCTATCTCAAAAAACAAAACAAAAAATATCTATACCCACTCCAAATATGTCTTCTTGACCCTACACACTCATGCAGGAATCTGAAAAGAAACAGGCTTACTGACAAATAGCAATCATCTATCAAGCACAGGAGAGAAATTCCACAACTCCTAGAGGCAGTCCATCTTCCTAAGTAGGTCACAGTCATGCACTGTAAAAGGCACCAAAGAGACATGTCTGAAGTTTCCTTGGGAAATCAAAATTCTGATACAGAAGCAAAAAGGGAAGCCCTATAGCCCCATCAAACTCTAGCCTTATTTTCAGTTCCTGAGGAACCATTAAAATCAGACTATACCCCCAGAAAATAAGTGGGTTCAGAACAAAGGGGAATTTAAAAAGGAACTAGTGATATTTAGAAAACAAACTGGTCCTTCCTCAAAGGATGCAGTAGAAGGCTATAAAAACACTTCATGATTCCTTCCATATGAGAAGAGATGCTACCCTGGAAACAGCCGCTCAAGTTTTCACAGAGCTAGGATTAGCAGCAACCACCCACCAAGTCTGCAAAGCTTGCCTACTCTGTGCCTACCGTAATTCTGGTGAGCCCAAACCTCCTCCCTCATTAGAACCTGTGCAGAGGAGAGGGACGTACCTTGGAGAGGACTGACAACAAGACTTTACCCACACGCCACCATGTGGAGGATTTAAAGGTACGTTGGTCCTGATCGACACCTTCACAGGCTGGATTGAAGCCTTTCTACCCATTCAGAAAAGGCTTCAGAGGTAGTCAAGATGCTTCGTAAAGAAATCATCCCCAGATTTGGACTAGCCTGGTCCCCCCAGAGTGACAATGAACCTTCTTTACCTCCCAAAAAACTCAGGTGGCGAAGGCTTTAGGGATACAGTACCACCTCTTAGAGAAGTACCTTCTCTTAGATGGAGAAGGCAAAGACGCCCAGGGACAAGGCTGAGAAACCCCAAGCAGGGGAAGCAGCAAGAGAGTGGGGGTCTGAGGCCAGAGCATGTGGAGAAGGAAGAGACAAACTGCAGGCCACATCTGAAAGCTTAGTAACCTAAACACAGAAAAGAGAATTGACATTTAGTGGGCACATGTGTCACTGCCAAGGGCAAGATCTGCACAATGTGTGGGTGGAAGCCAGGCATCGGGGAGTGAGGATGTACAAAGGGGGAAGAGGCAAGAGACAAAGCAAGGGAAGCCTTTCCAGGAGTTTGGTGGCAAAGGGAGGAGATGGGAGAAAATGAGACTGGCAGGAGGGAAACAGCATTTCCCCTGCCCGGGCCTTCAGCTGAGACCACAGCTCTGATGGGACAATTTGACTGCACCCTCGGGAGAAGTTCCAAGCAGTGGCAGTGGCTAAGCAACGCCTAGATTCCTGACTTCCTGACTTCAAGAAATCTCTAGATAGTAATCTTGTTTTGGTTGGGTTTTTGACGCTGAGGATTTAATCCAGGGCCTTCACACTGGGTTACATCCCCAGCCCTTTTTTTGTTTGTTTGTTTTTTGGTTTTTGTTTTTTTGGTACTGGGGATTGAACTCAGGTCCTTGTGCTTGAGAGGCAAGCAGTGGAAACACTGAGCTAAATCCCCAGCCCTTTATTTTTTATTTTGAGACAGGGTCTTGCTAAATTTATTGCCAGGCTGAGCTCAAACTTTCTATCATCCTGCCTTAGTCTCCCACAGTTCTGGGGTTACAGGTGTGTGCCACAACGTCTGCCTATGTTTTCTTTGTTTTTTGGGTTTTGGGGTGTTTTTTTCTTTTTGGTACCGGGGATCAAACTCAGGACCTTGCACTCTCGAGACAGGCACAGTCCCATTGAGCTAAATCCCCGGCCCCTAACTATGTTTATTGCTTTAAGCTGCTAAATTCAGGGAAAATTTGTCAAGCAGCAACAGGCATGAGGACATGCAGCAGTGAATAGTTAGCCAATATTCGTACTATTCATGGAGGCTGCATTACAGAGGAAAGACAGATAAGAAACAAGCAAAATGTGAATGCACAGATCTGGAGATAGTAAAGTGGGACAGTGTGGTAGAGCCCCGGGAATGAGCAGAGGAAAGGCCTCTGCCAGGAGGTGACATCTAAGTGAGCGGACACACGGGGTTGTAGGCCAGAATCTGAAGAAGAGCGAGCCAGGAAAAAGGCGCAGTCAGTGTAACGCCTGAGCCAGAGGGTCCCATGCAATTCCTAGGGAAGGGAGGCCGGGGCTGGGGGCGGTCCCTCGATGAGGGAAAGGATGAGGCGATGGGAGAGCCGAGCAGGGCCTGCACCATCCACCACATGGAAGGCTGTGGGCGGGAGATCCTGACACCCACTCTAAGGACCACAGGGCCATGTCTGCGGTCAGTGGCCGTCACAGAGGTAAGTAGCTATATGGGGGCTTTCCTCCAGGTGCCTCCGGCCTGTGCGTGTGTAACAGAACCCAGTTTCCCCACACGTCAGCCCCCAGACCACGAGCAGCGCCCAGCCTGGTCCTGCTCTGTCCCTCCGGTCTCTGCCAAGGGGCCCTACCTCTGAGGGGCTCTGGGACACGCTGAGGCTGCCGCCTCAGGTTGGAATCAAACAGGAAGCATAGGCCACTGACGTATGTGTTCTCCTTGCAAGTCTGGTGCACGGTGGGGCCGCAGGCCTGAGGAGCAGGGTGCCAGTGTGAGGGCTGGCCAACTCCTGTCCCTCTTGCCTCCTCCTCTGCCTCCCAGCAGCCCCGGGCCCCACTCCTCCCCCAAAGATCCTCGTGACCCAGGGCAACTCACCAGCAGCCGGGTGGGGTTGGTGGCAGCGGCCAGGGACAGGCCCAGGGACATATTCACAGCCTCCAGGGGCACTGAGGAGACAGACATGGCAGATGTGGTCGCCCCCCGGGGGAGCTTAAAGGACCACTTCAGCCTGGCACATGGGGGCACCCAAATCACAGAAAAGGCAGGAAGAGGCTACCTAAAGCCCACAGGGAGAGCACAGCCCGGGGAGCCCCCACCACAGGGCCCCAGAAGACGGAGTGCCGCGCTGGACCCCAGCCCTGGGTCCCGCAGGGCAGCGACTCACCCTGCAGTGAGACAGGCTCACACCGGCCTGTGCTGTAGTCACACTGGTAGAGGCCCCCTGTCTGGTTGGCAGCCTTGACCTCCTGCGGGGCTCCAACCACCACCCTGCAGGGAGAGGTGGGAATGCAGACCACACTGACACACAGAGGACAGCAGGGACCTGCACAAGCATCCTGGATTCAGTAAGGAGGAGGAAGAGTTAGCAAAAAAAAAAAAAGGAAAAAAATTTTTCCAAATGGGAAAGGAAGTCACAAAACTCAGAGGACAGTTAAAAATGGATAAATTCAGGGACTGGGGATTTAGCTCAGTGGTTCCGCCGCCTACCTCACAAGTGCAAGGTCCCAAGTTCGATCCCCAGTACCAAAAAAAAAAAATGAATAAATTCAGCAGGGTATGGTAGTGCACACCTATAGTCATCTCAGCACTCTGGGAGGCTTAGGCAGGAGGATCACAAGTGAGACCCTATCTCAAAACAAACTTGTAAAAATTTAAAATGGGTGGGGATGCAGCTCATTATGAAGGCCCTGTGTTCAATCCCCAGTACAATCAATCAGTCAATTCATATATACTCAACCACATAGTCATTTTAAATAAATCTCTGTATTTTATAAACTATTATAAGCAAAATCAAAAAACAAATGATAAACTGGAAGGAAGGAAGACTTAGCTCATACCCCAGACTACTTCCCTCAATATAATCAGTTCCTACAAACCAGTAAGGGGGAAAAAGAGAAAAAGCGAGCAACAGATAAGAAAGAAAGTGTTTACAGAAAAGGAAACACATCCCTCATTAAGAGGGAAAGCAGTCTGAAACTAAATTGTGATACCAACTCTTATGTATTGGGTTTACAACGGTTCGTTAAGTTTGATAACACAGCGGATTGGCAAAGGGATAGGGAAGTAGATGTGTCTGGGGCAAGTGTACATTGTTACTACCCCTATAGAGGGCAATCTAGAAAATCTATGAAATTGGATCTGCCCGAATACACTTTGGACCCAGCAATCCCTGTGCTCAGAATGTACTTTCAAACATACTTGCATATGTGCAAAATGCCAGCACTGTTCATGTAAAAGTTTGGAAACAGGGCCAGGGATGTAGCTCAGTGGTTCCAGCGCCTGCCTCGCAAGCACAAGGTCCCGAGTTCGATCCCCAGTACCAAAACAAAAAGAAAAAAAGAAAATCAAAGAGCCAAGCTTGCAGCACAGTAGCAGAGCACCTGCCTGACCGGCATGTGTAAGGCCCTGGGTTCAATCCCCAGCACCATAAACAAACAAACAACAAATCAGTCGAGGAAATCACTTCCTGCCCTCGAATTTAGGGCAGCACACGAGATAGGCGACTGCTCCTGGGGTTCTCACCGGGATCCCTCAAGCTGGACCACAGTCTGCCCGAAGCCTCTTGCATTCTCTTGGAAGGTGACTGGATTCTCAGTGTCCAGGTTGAACCCATGACATAAGGCCAAGGCTGGAGGGAGAGTGAGCGGGTGAGGGTCAGGCAAGGGAACCAGTGGCCTGCCTTCCTGCTCCATCTCCTGCCTGCCCAGGTCCCCACACAGCAGCAGGACCAGGACGCCTGTCTCCTGGTCCAGCTCTGGCAGTCTGGGCAGGGCTCCCCACACATCTCCACTGAAGGCCAGGTAGTAAATCCTCCAACTTTGCAGGCCGAAAGGTAGACCATGTTACACAGGCACTTTAACAAGAGAGGATGCATTTCTACAAATTGTTCATCAGGAAATTCACAGTATAATTATTATGTATAATTCTTTGTAATTCAAATTTACTAATGAGCACAACTGGAATTCTTTAGGGGGATGGTGTTTCACTTAACTGGAATTCAGAATTAGTGTTCCCAATCCCTGAAGTGATTATAAATGTTCATATTCAACTATGGCTTAGGAGTAACAGCCAACAAGTGGTGGGCCACACTGACCATGGGTCGCGTCTGCTGACTCACGCCCAAGGACCACCATCCCAGAGTGAGTCAGCCCATCTAAGCTCCAGCCTCCATCTGAAGGAACAATTGGTCCTTTACACAATGTTGCAACATGATGATTTGTCCAGCAATGAAGCTCCTAGAGACTTAGAAAATTTCCTTTCTATATAACTCTCAAGCATTTCCTTCCCTTTTGGGCCTATTTTCCACAAAACATAGGCACAAAATGAAACTAACTCACATCATTTTGATTCACTTGTCACTCAACCAACATTTACACTTAATACTTGTTAAACAGAAGTGGAGGTGGGCCCAGGATTTAGCTCAGTGGCACTGAACCTGCCTCACGAGTGCAAGGTCCTGAGTTCAATCCCTGGTCAGTTGTTTACCCTTCCCCAAATCCACTTTGTTCTTGCCCAGCCTAACTCTTATGTAGTCTGTGCCCCTTTTCTGCACTCACAAACCAAAAGTCTCCCCTCTTCCCCACCTGGAGGAACCCCCAAGTCCCCAGCATACCTGTCACCAGAAGAACTCCACAGGTCATGGCCGAAAGGAGCAGGAACCTGAGAGAAGCATAAGCTGTGGGTAACAGAAACCAAGGAACCACCTCAAGGAAGTCACCCAAGCCAGAAAGGGTGAAAAAGAGAAGTAGGTTCACTTCTCGGCCTTTTGGCTAAGATCAAGAGTAAAAAGAGAAGTAGGAGGCCAAGGCCTGCTAAAACTCAAAGGAAGAGGGCGGAGGCTCAGTGAGCACGCAGCCCAGCTCCACTTTCCTCATGAGCTCCACACAGCCTGCTTTTCCTCCCTACCTACTTTCCTGCACCAAACCCTCGAGGTCACTATCCAAAAGGTGCCACTTGTCACCCACTTGCTTCTGGGGCTGGCCAAAGCATGTGAAAACCAAGCTAAATAGCATTAGTTCTGCCTACTGGAATGTATGTTCTGAAGACCAATAGAGACAGCACAAGGGTGAGAGGTCTCCCCCAAAAACAGGCTTTATAAGATATCCCCCCAGCAGCCTGTGAGAATGGAGGTACCCTTCAGCCAGAGTGTTCTCAACAAGGACAATTCAGTAAAGAGAAACCTGGTGCTTTTTAACTATTCTGCTTTTTAATAAAAACCTTAAGGCCAGGGATTTAGCTCAGTGGTTCTGCCACCTGCCTTGCAAGTGCAAGGACTCTAGCTTGATCCCTGGTACCAAAAAAACAAAAACAAAAAATCCTTATATTAGCTTTCCTCTCTCTGAGACACAATTCCCAACACCCATAACTTAAAGGAGGGGAGGTTTAACTTGGCTCATGGTTTCAGGGGACTCAGTCCATGGTTGGCTGGCTCCAAGGCGGAAACATCAGAGCAGAAGGGTGTGGCAGAGCCAAGCTGCTTAGTTCAAGATCACAGGAAGCAGAGAAGAGGAACAGTGCCAGAGAGGATGGGGCAAAGGACTAGGGACCAGACATGGACCCTAAGGCCAGGCCTCCACAACCCACCCAGATACACCAAGAAGTGTGTCCACCAATTCCCCGAGTGGATCCCAAAGCCAATTGTTATGGTTTGTATCTGGATGTCCCCCCAAAGCCTCGTGCAGTCATAAGTGGGGCTTTTCAGAGGTGGCTGGACCTAGAGTGTATGATGCTGGAATTAAGCATATAACGCTGGGATCAAGGTGTGTGATTACTAAACTGGTCCACTGATTGGCATAATTCTGGGCATGGATAATGGGAAGGCCCACCCCGGGTGAGTGCTACCTTCCCTAAGGGTGTGTGGCCTGGATAGAATATAAGAGACAGAAAGAGGGCTGCCATCCTTGCTTGCTGCTTGCTGCTTCTGCTGTCTTCTGCCTGCCATGGACTGTTTCTCCTCTGTGATGCCCCTCTGCCATGTCATCCTGCCATGGAGTCAGCCAACTATGGATTGAAAACTCTACAAACTGTGAGCTAAAATAAGCCTTCCTCCTTTAACTGTGGGTGTTGGGTATTTTGTCTCAACAACAAGAAAAGTAACAAAGACACCAATCAAGTTGACATCCTGTACTAACCTCTATAAGCCTCAAACGTTGCTCAGGAATTTTCCATCTCCAAGGTATTTCTTAAGAAATACCAGCAAGGTGACCCGCAGCTCTTACAGTCCCAGCTACCCTGGAGGCTAACACAGAAGGATCACTCAACCCCGGGAGCTCACAGCCAGCCTGAGGAACATGGCAAAACCCCATCTCTTCTTTTCAAAAAGTGAAATACATCTGGAATTCCAGCACTATCAGAGGCTGATGCAGAAGGATCATAAATTAGAACCCCACCTAAGCAATTTAGCCAGGTAGTAAGACCTTGCCTCAAAATAAAAAGTAAAAAGGGGTGAGTATGTAGCTCCATCCAAAGGCCCTAGGTTCAAAAATGAAAAATATAGTAACAAAAAAATAATGGAAAAAATAACTAAGAAGGCCAGTCAAAGATGTAATTACAAGATGTCATTGCAAGGTTGTTTTTAAAGATGAAAAACTAGAATGATCTGAATACCAACATCAGAGGAATGGTTAAATGCTGTCTCACTCTGTAATAAGTCTTTGCATTCTGTTTGGTACAGTAACTAATTCTGTTTTCAATGACCCAGAAAAATACTTTCACAAAATATATAGAACTCCAAAGCGAAGTAGGATAGAGGGGAAAGGATGTGTAAAAAGGAAAAGAAATCATAATTTCAAAACTGTACTTTTAAGAAAACTGCAACTTCAGGGCACAACGCAGGCTCTGCAGGTCCCCACTCCACAGCTCTCCTCCAGCTCGGCTGATGCTTCTGGGCCTCGTTTTTTTCCAGCCCATCACAACCAAAGTTCCTTAAAGATACTGGAAATGCATAAATTAGCTTAGTTGATAAGATAAAGGGTAGAAACCTGACCTTAAAATAAACAAATTCAAAAGGTTCAGGCCCGGGGATTTAGCTCAATGGTTTCGCCACCTGCTGCACAAGCACAAGGACCTGAGTTCGATCCCCAGTACCAAAAAAAAAAAAAAGAAAAGAAAAAGCTTCAAAGAAAATTTCAGGGAAAACATCTTCGGTCAGCATCTTAAAAGATGCCTCCAAGAACACCCAACCCCAGACCTAGGGCTCCTCTCTCTCCTCTGAGTTTGTACTTCTTTAATTCTATCTAATAAAACCTTTCTATTCCTCACACTGATGCATCTTGACATTCTTTTCTGTGACCAGTCATCCATGGAGTGGATGTAAAAAAGAATCGAGATGTGTTATGTACACATGCCAACTCCCCAGGATGAACATAATTATTATGTATTGCAAACATGTACTAATAAAAATAAATTTTAAAAGGGCCGGGGATTAGCTCAGTGACACTCCACCTGCCTCCCAAGCGCAAGGTCCTGAGTTCGATCCCCGGTACTGAAAAAATAAAATAAAATAAATTTTTTAAAATACAATCTAACAAACCATAAAAAACCTACTTTGTGAGCTACATTGAGGTCCCCATCACATTATTAGACACAAATGTTCAACTTTCAACAAGAAACATCAGACATACAATGAAAAGGACAATTCAAAGAAAAAAATAATAATAAACCAACCATACCATCCAGGAGAAAGACCAAATAGCAGACTTACTAGACAAAGACTAAAATATTTGTTTTAAATGTCATGTCAGATAGCATATGGAGGGCCAGTGACATGGGTGGTAAAAAGAATTTACCAAGAGACAAAGATTATAGGAAAGACAAGAGTTTATTTAGATGAGTACAACATCAGGAGAGACAAAAATTTGAGTTTCCAGCAGAGGTATCACACAAGGTAAAAGATTTGGGTTTTTATAAGGGAATTGATACATGGGAAAGAGTCTGAGTTGGAAAATGTAGATATCTTAGAAACGCATTTTCCAAGGCATCCTGTTTTTTGTTAATCTTTCAGGAACATCTGCATTGTAATTAAAGTTCTAAATCAAAGTTGTAAATTGTCAAGGCTCTTTAATTAAGCCTCACAAAAGGTTCTTTAGACTTAGATAAGTGTATCTGCATATTTTAACATTTTGGGGAATGAGATGATATAATGATAGCTCAGGCAAGAAAAGGATGGTTTTTATATTTACTTCTATCTTCTGCTGTTTTCAGTCCTCATCAGTGCAGTGCTTTATGACTGTCCAGTACAGTATGCGCCAGGAAGAAGTATGTTATCAAAGTTTGGGTGCTGAAAATTTCAATCCTTTGTCACCACATTAAACACCAAAGGAAGACGTATAGAAAGTCAAAAATAATGTATTGACAAAATAGAAATACCAATAAAAAGATAGAAAACCTAAAAAGATACCAAAAAGAAATTCTGGAGCTGAAAATGACAATAACTAAAGTGAAAATGAAAATTTCATTGAAGGGAATCAAAGGCAGGTTTGAATAGGCAGATAAAAGAATAAGTAAACTTGAATATAGGACAATAGAAATTAAGTCCAAAACACAGGAAGAAAAAAGAATGAAGAAAAGTGAGCAGAGCCTATAGAAACTGTGGGGCCACCAGAAAGATCAACGTATATGTTGTGGGAGTCCCCAGAAGAAAGGAGAGAGGAAGGGGCCAAAAACTTCCCATGTGATGAAAGTTATAAATACAAACATCCAAGAAATTGAAAAAACTCCATGTCTCAAAGGCCCACACTACGACCCATTATAATCTAGTTGTTGAAAAACAAAGACGGAGAATTTTGAAAGTGTCAAGAAAGAAATGACTTGTCATGTACAAGAGATTCTCAATAAGATTATCAGAAACTTTGGTGCTCAAAAGGCAGTGGGCTGATACACCCAAAGTGCTAAAAAAAGAAGTGTCAATCAAGAACCCCGTATCTGGCAAAACTATCCTTCAAGACGGAAGGAGAAATTAATCTATTTGTAGATAAACAAAAGCCAAGAGAATTGCCACTAGAATTACCCTGCAAGAAATGCAAAAAGGAGTTCTGCAGATTGAAATTTAAGGGCACTAGATAGTACCAAAGTTAGAGGAAAAAACTCAATAAATGTAGATACACAGGTATTTATAAAAGCTATATTGCAACAATGGCACATATTCCAGTTTTTTGTTTTCCACATGATTTAAGAGATAATGTTTAGGGCTAGGGGTTTAGCCCAGTGGCGCCATGCCTGCCTTGTAAGTGCAAGGTCTTGAGATCAATTCCTGGTAAAAAAAAAAAAAAAAAAATATCAGCCTGAACTACATAATGAGACCCTGCTGCAAAAAAGACACACACAAAAAAAAGAGAGAGAAAAAGAGAGACAATCTTTAATTATTATTTTATGTTTTTGGACATACAAAATATAAAGACAATTTTCATGTTATCAACAACTGAAAGAGGTGAAAACTAAGCTGTTAAAGAGTAGAATCTGTGTATCCTATTGAATTTTTGCTGACATTTTTTTTTTGTACCAGGGATCAAACTCAGGACCTTGCACTTGTGAGGCAGGCACAGTGCCACTGAGCTAAATCCCCAGCCCCTTTGCTGACAAAACTTTATTTGGAGCTTCTAGGAGGGAAGCGCAGCTACTCCTACACCCTTGACAGAGGAAACAGTCATCCTCTGTTGGGGGTGGTAGTCTGCTTTCACCGAGCTCGAAACTTCAGGAGGGAGCAGTGAGGGAGGAGCAGCCAGCCAGATCAGCTGGATCAACCCTGGTGATCAATGACAGATGTCACAGCCAGATCTCC